ATATCATGACCCCCCCCCCCAGAGAGAGTCCATGACACCTATGGATCCCTTATCAGAATGAAGGTTTATAATCTAAGAAAATAAGATACATAGATTGCAAATAAAATCAAGCATCAAAATATATTTTAAGTGAGATAGAATAATATATGTGTTTTTTTCTAGAAATTAAACACTTAGTGGCAGACCTAGTCATTATAATAATTTTGAAGTAGTGATGTGGGTAAGTTGCATTTCATAATACCTGTGAAAATTGTAACATAATATGAAAATAATCTGTGATTTTTATTGTTACAACAGAGACACTGCTAATACCACAGTGGTTTGTTTATAAGTGGAAGAAAATGCTACATTTACATTATAGGTTAATGAAAATAAAGGTGAAAAAATTTTTTTTCTCATCAAGTTTCTGGACTATCTAAATTCTAATTATGGATCCCAGTAAAAGTACCCCCTTCCAGTTATTTAATAAGCTCACTCATAAATATTGATACAGGGGTCTTTGTTATTGAAGTTCATGTAGTTACAAAGCAAATAGGGAAACAATGTAAGGAAATATTAGTGAGTACTTTCATGCTATGGGGTTTTTGCTTTACTGTTCTTTTACAGTTAGTCCCCAGCACAAATATTCTTTCCACTTAATAACAGCATCTTTTCCTGCCTGCCACACTGGCCTCTCAGTTCACTGGATGTGGTAATGTTTGCGACAAACGTCTTCATATGCGATATAAACTAACTGCAAAGCAAAACTGAAAATCTTGCAAAAGCTGAAGACTTTTCATGCAGTCTAGGGCAGGGGATGTTTGAGAATTCACACCCAAAGCCAATGACAGAATTAGATCAGTTAACAACTGAACAAAAAAATTTGCTACAGAAAATGACATGATAGTCATTTTAAGAGAATAATTTGAATACCAGTATAAAACGAAAGGCCCCTGAGAAATGATGCCTGAGACGCTTGTTAAAAATATTTTATTTACAACTGTACGATAGAAGTAAAAAATAAAATAGATAGTATTCTGATATAATAAAATTGTCTGAAAAAATATTTTGTTCTAAAAATTAGTGCCTAGACAAAAATAACAAAATTTGTTCAATATAATATTTTCATAATATTAGGTTCCTTCTTCAAACTCCTTCTCCCACTTTTTACCTATTAACAAACTCCAGTCCTCAGTTTGAGGATTCATTTGACATGTCATCTGCCCGGTAGGGATGACACCCAGATAACTGGAACTCCCTAGCAGCACCTTACGAGAAAAACCACTGTGCCCAAGTGGGAATTTTCCCAGGAGTGTAACAACGAATATATTAGAAAATCTATTATTATATCTTATTCCAGTAGCAGGTGAAAGAAAATAAGTCCGATCATTTCAACAGATGTTGAAAAGGAATGTGATAAAACTGAACTTGCATCCAATAAGCTAAAATAAAAACCTTTTGAAAAGACAGACCAGAAGATAAACCAGGAAGTGCTTTCCTCATAGGTTTTTTCCAAGGGCTGGGCGAGGTAATGTATTCAAAGTGTTCAGCACAGAGAAAGGTACATGACCCTTCAACAGCATGGTATTTAGGGAAGAGACTGCCTCCCTCACCATGCAGTCAAAAATCTGTATATAACTTTTCACTCCTCCAAAAACTTAACTACTAATAGCCTAGTGTTGACTGTAAGCCTTACCAGTAACATTAACAGTCAATTAACATATTTTGTATGTCCTATGAGATATGTATTATATACTGTATTCTTAAAATAAAGTAAGCTAGAGAAAAGAAAATAGTAAGAAAATAGTAAAAGAAAATACATTTACAGTATTTATTGAAAAAAATCCACATATTAGTGGACCCACGCAGTTCAAACCTGTGTTGTTCAAGAGTCAACCATAATTTTGGGGGGTGTTCATTTGACAATGCTTGTCAAAGTTTTAAATACACTTTTCTTTTCATTCAGCAATTCAACTTCTACATTTTTTTTCTGTAAAGAATACTGGAAAAAAAGAGAACGTACCATATATATGTATCTCGATATATATGTATCAATTGCTACATTCTTTTTAATAGTAAAAATTGGGGTCTACACAAGAAATCTGAAAGAATGAAATTCAGAAATAGCCAAAATGAATTTGGCAAAGACACCAATGCCTTCAGAGGCTCTAGCACAGTTAAGATTATGCCTGCTTCAGTTTTGGTTGTGTGTGTGTGTGTGTGTGTGTGTGTGTGTGTGTGTGTGTGAAATCTTCAGCAAGCAATCTAATGACTTCTATTTCAGGTTTCTCATCTGTCTAAAGAGGGTAAAATACACCCTTCAGCCCCTTAGCCCCTCAGCCGTATGGGGAAAGTGTCACAATCAATATTCCTGAGAGATTCTTACAATTTTAGATAAAGATCACGCAAGAACAGAGCCCCTCTACTGTACTGCCCATTTCCACAATACTTCCAGTAGCCATTTAGTAACCACAAGGTGAACAGATTTTAATGTCCCCTTGTTGGCAGATGATAAAAATTGACCTCATGGTATCACCCTATGTAACCTATGTTATCACCAACCCGAGACCCGCTCAGTGCTGACCAGCGCAAGCCTTGTATCGAATTACTCAACACATCACATCTAGATGCAAATAAAATCCTCCCTAGAGGTCTAATTACCAAGAATTTACTTATTTAATCCCTTAATGCTATAAAGATTGGTGAAAAGGTCATCTCACTTGCATTTTTAATATTTCATAAGTCGAATACTTTTTCTCCCTGTCAACAACTGTTACCATAGCGATATCACTGCCTACGAATTTTCCAGGGGGTTCCTTCTGGCCAGAAGGGTTTAGGAAGAAACCACCTGTAGCTGTAGGCAATCCCTAACTGCCTCCACTACGGCCTTTCACCCCTCCCGGGATGCCCTCCCCCAGTTATGTTCTTTTAACTAAACTTACTTTATCTGCCTCAGAGCCTAAGCGGCCTCCCCCGATTCCTGAAACAAGGGGAAATGCTCCCCTCCCTCTGTTCCCATGGCAACCTGGGAGTGCCCCTCAGTCATCTGCCTTATGCCACACCACTGGGGGCCGAGTCCCTGCACCTCTGTACCCCAGGCACCTCAGGCACCTCATCCGCGATCACTGGAACTAAACGTCACTCTCCCCTTTTCCTGTGCGTATCCTCGGCACGCGTGCCTGCTGGTTTAAAAAAGC